AAGCTTTTATTTGGGGCTCTCCACGTTGCCACCGTAAGCGCCGTAAGCGTTGGTCAAGAAAAGCGAGCGCCGTAAGCTAAACGTTGGGTTTCGTAAGCTACCGTAAGCAAATTCGTTACCGTCAAAGAAACCGGATAGGGGTTCTGATCCCCGCTCAATTCCTTTATTCCCTGCCAAACACCATGCCTGCTTACCAAGCAATAATGACTACATAGTCATCTTGAGCAGTATCCGAAGAAGGAGGAGGCTGTGCTGAGGCAACGCCCCACTTTGAAACCCAACAACCCTGACTCATATGGCCTCTACTTTGGTTCTTGGCCCCATAGGAAAGTAGATTCCATTTTCTTTTCCATTATTAGTGTATTATTACTTTTGCTAGTTTTACTCATGTTTTTACTATGTGGACTTTGGAAGGACAAGGCCTCCAAGGCCTGGATTTCGAAGATGGTGTCTGAGCTCTCCGGCGACCTGAAGCAAACCTTCCACCATGGCCTGCGCCGCTGCCCGACTTGAGGGCTTGGTGGTAGGGGCTCGGGGATTAGAATGGGGCCTAGAGCTTCAGGGTTTCGGGGCCTGGCAGGGGTTTGGGGCTGAGGATTTCGGGGTACAAGGGTATAGGGTGAGGGTGTGGCTTCACGGTCGCTCGTACGGAATAAAGGATTGGACTACTGCATGGGACTATTAGAGAGGGCTTTATTGGGACAACCTCACAGAGACTTGCTCCATTCCACAATGGGTTGAGGGTCCAGCGTGCAGAGTGCAGGGTAATGTCTTGGGTTTAGGCTTCAGGGGTTCCAGGGTGTTCGGCATCAGGGCTTATTTTCAGGGGCCCTGGAGTTTTACCCTATTCTAAGCCTGTAAGCCTGTACACGTAGGGCCCCAACCCCCCTAAGGCCCTTCATACTTTGAGCTGCTTGTCAGTTTCACTGCTTCCTGGTGGTTCCCCGGCAGTAAGCCTTCACACGTAAGCTCGGCGTCATTCAAAGCATGACGGACCACGCTGACCACAGACTCTAAATTCGCTCACTCTGGCTTCATACGCCTTCAAAGCGTAGATTTCCAAGCTGAAAGGCTACTCTAGGCTTCAGGTATGTAGGCTGGGGTGGGCTTTGGGTATGGGTGTGACATAGTCACTGTTCGTAGCATGCATACCTTATGGGTTGTGGTTGTAGCCTTCAGGGGCCGAAGCCGTCAGCAATGTGAATAAGCTCGAGCTGATCCGCCAGGCCAGAGTAGGCATAAGAGCGCCAGCTTCTCCAGCCCTGCTGAGAGCTCCCACGAGCTGGTGGGTTCTCTAGGTCAGCTTCTTCCTCTTAAAGCCTGAATGATGATCAAGATCACTTCCTTCTTGTATTCCCATGAAGTATAGTATGACCTACCTCAAACCCTAGTCCTAGTGTTATTGTAGGCCTGTATTCTACTGCTCAGGCAAAGACTGCTCAGGCAAAGTTTAGTAAACTTCCGAAAATCCTCAAGCCTGGATGCTGAGCTCTAAAACCCTGGGCCCAAGCCCAAAACCTCTGAACGTGCTTCCACCCGAAACCCTGAACCCAAAAGATCTGGACGCCAGACAGACCCCGACCCTGAGACCCTTGGCCTCAAAGCCAGGCCACTGCCCCGGTCCACAAGCCAACACAAGTCGCCACCACTAAGTTCATAGTGACATCGTTGTAGAATGTCATAACATCTAGAAAACATAGGAAATACGATGCCCATATTGTTAAGCATAGAATCCACTAGTGACAGGAGATTCACCTTTTCATACTTGCGGTTCTGGAGCCAAGGATACCACGTGTGGCAGGACCACATTGAGAAAGAGCAGACAGAACTTCATGCCTCGATCACAGACATGCATTCAGGCTGCATCCTTGGCCTTACCAAGAGTAGCTTGAAGACCCAGAAACAGGCAGAGATACGGACAAATCAGGTGCACAATCGTTCTTTGTACGTACACAGCTTACTCCAGGTAGGGCTTGGGTTTAGGGTCATGGGGTTCCGGGTTTAGGGTGTTCGGGCTCTAGAGGTTTATAGGGCTTTCGGTTGAAGGTGTTGAGCTGCATCTTGGGTGTTTTGTGTATGTGTGTGGGACGTGCTCAAAAGCAGTTTTACGCCTTATTGAAAGTCGCCGGACATTGGGAAGGGCATTTCCCAAAACATTGGTGGTATAAGGACATATTGTCACAGCTTCCAGCAATTTTGGGGCCTTTTCAAAGATATAGGGGTTGTGTTGGGACGTGTACGTACAACTTAGGGTTTACAAGGGCTGTGAGCCATATCCTGTTGTTGAGTGGTGCCTTACGGTGTTGCGGTGAGATAGGTAAGCACACAGGTCGAACCCAAGCTGTTTTAAGCTTATTGCCTTTGAAGCTAGTTCGCCATATCCTATCTATCATCCTTATAATATAGAATCCCCACACCCACACAGCATAGGACTATGGCCTTGAATAGCTCCTACCCATGACGCTTCTATTGTTTTGTGGCATTGCTGCTGAGATTGCGGGTTCGGATTTGGTATCTGACAAAACTTATTCTTTGAGGTTGCAGACATTCCCCTGAAAATGGTGTAGTGTCATGATTACAGGGGCCTGAAGAGGATTCATAGCTCCCCGGGTTTGGGCCCATACTCGGGATACTACATCAGAGATTTGGACCCCTGAGCCCTGCCTCCATCCCACGGCCCACGGTCCTCATGCTATGCGGAGCTGAGGCAAAATCTGGTCCAACAGCATGCTGGAATGATTCAGGGCATGATCTACGCAGTTGATAGAGACCTTGCTGCAGTTTAGCTTTGAAAGCCGCAGAGCCGCAGATGCTGCCAGCTCAACCTCTCATTTGAAGCTTGTGCCCCAAATCCTCTGAAGTCAGTTGTGGTGGTCCACAAACAAGGAATCCTACCCACGTTGAGCCTAGAAGCGTTTGTTGCTGCAGCTGTACAATCCTAACAAAATTTATGTTCGCTATTCCCTTCCTCTGACCAATTATGAGATCTTCAATGACAGTTCTCTTCGCCTCATGCCTTTAGCCTAGACTCCCAGCTCCTTGATGGCATTTTCCTTTCAGGTCTGCTAGAGCCCAGCCACCACCAAGTGGCCTCTGGCGCTGCTGGTCCTTCTACGGCTGCTGGTGCCCCTAGCTGAGGACTTCGGCCTCGTGGATAATGACTGGCTTTGCCTTGGGGATATCTAAATGTTTCCCACGGTCATTCTACATGTCTACCTTTAAAGGTCAAGCAAGGTGACCCAATTTTCCAGTTCAGGGCTTTGAGTGCAGTGACGAGAGCAGATGCTGTTATAAAAGGGAGCACATGATGAGGGCGTCTGTAAATTGCAAGAAGTTTCCCCTTGGCCGGTAGCCGTAACCCACAACAGTCCATGTCTCACTAGGAAGCCGACAAGAGGCTTCATATTTCGAATTCCATGGAAGTTGACATCAACCAGCTTTATCTACCCGACATGTTTTGGCCCTAGCTGCCTACTGTAGCCGTTCCCAAGATGATACCAGAAACAAGTGCCTAGCATGCCCCATGACCCCCCAAGTAGCCATCCGAGATGTTGTGCAGAGCGAGCAAAAGCCACCGCCACAGCTGTTGGGTTGTTGTGTTGAAGCTCTGCCGGGTTTAGGGTGCTTCAGGCTTATGCCTATGCATATGGTAGCGGCTGCCAAGAACGTGGGAGCATGGTATGTAATGCTTTGTTTGATTGACTGCCAGGTCTGGGTTCTGCTGGGAGGCATCCTTGTTGTAAGCGGAACTGCTCTTGGTCCGCTCATCGAGTTCTTCAGACATCTAACGCAACTCCATCCGAGTACTTGAATACCAAGTCTTAGGAACGCCAAAATAGTAAGTGCCGGTACTTGGCAACTGATTGCCTGGAACGCCGCGACTTGGGTATTACGGCTGCTGGACAAACACCTGCATCATCCTGCATGGCCCACTTCAGGTCATGCGTGGTTTTGTCCATGAACTGAACAGGCACTAAACTGTAAAACCTGAATCGAATTGGTCCAGGGCAGGGCCCGAAGCCTCTTGAGCATTGGTGGCTGTTTTTGTGCCTCTCTACGCCTCAGGGATTGAATGCCTTGAGACCTCAACCAGAAGCAGGTCAAGTAGAGATGACATGAGGTCCCTAGGTACCATATTGCAATCCAAGGCCTGGATTAGGGCTTGGGGTCCAGTTTAGGGTAGTAACCTAGCATGAAGGCTTGGGGCTTGGGGTCAAGATCTAGCTGGCAATCGTTCCCTAACCGCTTTGCATCATATTGTTGATGTTGGCCTCCTTATAAACGCCGCCCCCATAACCCAAACCCGCCATTGGGGACTGATGGCCTTTTTGGGGGCCATCAGGGCCGTTTGGGGGGTTTGGTTTGGGGGCGGCTCCTTCCAAGAGGACCCATCGTCTGATGGTAGATCACTTACCCTGCCCCAAGCTAGCATTGAACTTATTTAGATGGCTTTATGATTTGAGGGTTTTGAAGTCTTTGCGGGGAACCTGTGGGACTTCCATGTTAGTTGTCGACCTGTTAGAACTTTGCAAGGGCAAGCTATGCGGTCAATTTATCAACCTGTGATGTTGTTTTGGTTGGGGCGTGAGGGTTCAAATTTAAGACTCGGGCTTTGGGTTTGGGCTTTAGCTTTACGAATTGGGGGTGTGCTCTTTCAAAAGGATACATGCTGAGCCCAGCATCGCAAGTTGAACCTCTTCTCGGCATGATCTGCAAGATCATAGCTGCCACGGAGTGCCGAAGATTGGGATTCAGGGGCTTGAGTCCAGTTAAATAAGTGGGGAAAAAGGCACCTTGAGCTAGCCTGTGCTGATCGCTCCGGGTGTACACCTTACACTTCTTGAATTTACGATTTTAACTGAAGCATGCCGCTTTTAACCACCTGGCTTCTGGAAGATGCTGAGATCCTAGACATCCCTGCAGATCCCCTGTGTCACCCCGAAATTTCTTTAACCTGGCCACCCGAATAGCCTGTGGCCTAACGCAAGCGCTGAACATGCTTAAGCCGTGGAGCTCCCAACTACCCAACTGGCAGCTTTCGCAAGATGCCGGGAATGTAGGCTGTCTCCACGGGTATCTAGGAGGTCTAGACCCTTCCCTTTTCCAAAGGGCTTCGCCAGCGACAAACAAGGAGTCATCGATGCCTGGCAGTTTTCCACATGAGTGCCAACTGTTCATGGTTTGAGGTCCAGGAGTTGCGTACGGCTTCAAGAATTGCGAAGGGATGTGGGGATTGCACACTGCGCCTGATTAACATATCTTGGCCGCTGTGTCCTCTGAATACTAGTTCCTGTTGAGCAAGAGGTGGCTTAGTCATCGGGCGTTTGCCTTCCCCCATTGCTACGCTGGAAAGTTTCAACTCTCCTTCACACTTCTCTGGCATCTCAGGAAGCATACGCTTGTAACCAGCTTAGCACGCAAAGCCAGTCTTTTGGATTAGTGGTTAGTGGCTGGCTGATTCCCTTGCAGTTTCTCATGCTGCATCAACAAAATTATGGTGTCCGTGACCAGGGTTATTCCCTCAGTGGGCGAGTATCGAAGACTCCTATCCACAATGCACTGCAGGGCCATGAGTTCCTCCAAAAGGTCATGTGGGTGCTTGTTTACGCATTCTGGTCCCCGAAAGCACCGAAAGCCAAACCAAGCCATCAAAGATCACACGAAGTGCAAAAGACTGGTGCGCTAAACCCTGAGCCCCAAGCCAAGGAATACTCGGGCCGCGAGCTTGGGTCGTTTGTGGCGCTGCTGGCGAAGGGGAACCCAAAGAATGTTCTCCGGCTACAACTTCATCGTGTGTAAGGTTTATGTAAAAATGTGGATCTAGCGTTGCAGCGAAGTCTTGAGGGTGTATTGCATTCACTTTTACATATATACTCGTATAGTTCAGAGTTTTGGGGTCTAGTTCTTTGGGTCAAGGATTTGGGGTTGTGATTTCGGCTCAATATTCGAAGCTTGGGGCTTTAGCTTGCGGGTTTTGGAGGGTCAGGGGGGTTCGGGCTTTTGGTAGTGTAGAAGCTGATGTGATCCGCTTTCAAAGAAGAAATGACAGGCCAGCAGCCAGGTTTTTGATTTCTCCTATCCGCCCTACTGAACTACTGCTATTCTTATCAAAAAGTCTGCTACAGTTACACTGGATTCTGTTATCATTATTACGACTATTATTCTCAATTATTACGATCACGATTACTACTACTACTACTACTACTACTGCTGCTGCTACTACTACTACTACTACTACTCTCCTTATTAGGATCACTCTTACCATTACTATTCCTTTTACTATCACCATCATTCGTACTATTTCTATAAGGCTTAGCGCGTTCTTCACGAAAACTCCGAGCTAACACGGAGCCCCAACAAGCTGTGCAAGGAGCAGGCCCATTTGAAAGAGGACATACATGGAGAGGCATGTTAGCTTCGGCGAGGGCATGCTTAGAGATGCGAAGACAAAGCCAGGCATTCAAGCTTGCAGGCTCATGAGCCGTGCAACAGAAAGAACCAAGAATTTACATCGCGTAGCTATTCATGTGCCTAAAGGTAGAGCTGCTCTTTTCGCAGAAGCCCTCGCATCGTAATCCTGCGTGGCAGGAGAACAGGATGTAATTGGTTGCCTCAGGGATCTTGAGGCTCACAAGTCGGGGCCTGGCGTTTTGCATGACCTCGGTGCAGGAAGCCTGAGTACGGAAATTTCAATTTTCAGAGGCTTTGATTTCTGCTCCATGGTCTTAGAGATGGAGAACATCATTCAGCCAGATTGTGGCATTTGCTTGCAACTGCGTTTGTTCCCCGCTTCCTCCAGCAACTGTCTGCTCAGCCCTGGAGATTCAATGAACTGAGCCGCAAAATTTCAACCCCAAAACGAGATTATAGCAGGTGGGTCATGCAACCTAAAACTCAGAGGAATCTTGGTTGTGCCTGTTGGGTTGTACCCATGTGTCTGAGGACCTTTGGGGAAGTCTTTGGTATATGAGATCCAGATTCTGTCGTGTTGAGGTCATATGCGGAAACAACCATCGAGTTTGCAGGAGCTTGCGGCTGCCCGAGGTTGCTTCTTGACACTCCGCTGCGCCATGCGGCGGCAACCTAACCTAAGACTCCCAGACGGAGCTTTTATTTTGGGCTCAGGTACATCCCAATGAGTTCTAATTCGGATGCATTTTACGGGGAGGATGCAGGGAAAGCTCTTGTTTTATTCCTTGGCAAGAGCCCAGGAGTTAACGCCCTGCCGAGGTGGCGGCAAGCCTTCTGGGGGGTTTGGGTTTAGGCTTTAGGCAAAGAGTTGACTTTGGAGAATCTTTGCAGTATTGACTTAGGATAGTTTCCATGTGCTATGTCCAAAGCTTGAGGGACCAGAGACCTGCAGCACCTTCAGCAATGCCATCCTGCGCGGCATCTCCCACAAAAGAGAGCGAAGAAGGATGCAAGAGCGTGAGACCGCTACTCATGCTGTTCCTAGGCAAGTACACTCAGTTTGTAGCTGGTGAATTGCATTTGGTCGCTGTGCTCAAACTGCAACTTGGTGAAGAGGAATCTGTCCAGGACCCCGGCAATCCGAACAAAGGCTTGAATCCAGAACTCCCGCGCTCCCCCGACTAACAATCGTTTCAAATTTTGAATTGACTCTTTGCACTGGCATTCTCTGAGCTACAGTGAGCATAGCCTGGCATTTGCCTGACCTTAAAATGACCCCCTCAAAACTATCCCGTCCTTTTGATAAGGGCGCAGATGGAGTTCCGTGTTGGTTTGCATCCCTCTCATGCTTCCCGCTTGATGTTGCAAACAGCATTGCTAGAGGTTGCTCTTTGTCTGCCATGAGGACCCAACCGCAGCAGAGTGTACGTTGCCTTATACAAGTACACCTTTTCAGTTACCAGCTGCGAGCTTGGAATCTTGGGTTTGTTCAGTGGGCACCGAGTACCCAATTTCCGTTGCTAATTTTTAGTTCCAGAAACCCAGCAGCAGCTTCATGAGCTTGCATCAAGGCCAAGCAGTACCTGGGCTTCATCTCAGAGCGTCTTCTGCGCGTGCAGGCGCGCGCAACATAGGACCCTGACATGCCCTGGACAAACTGGGATCCAAAACGCCCCACAAAAACTGCTGTTCTTTTCATGCCCGAATTCGCATCTGCTGAATGTCC